TCATCTCATCTCATCTCATCTCATCTCATCTCATCTCATCTCATCTCATGATGAGTGGTGTATGATGAGTGGAGTGGTGTATGATGAGTGGTGTATGATAAGTCCTGTATGATGAGTGGTGTATGATGAGTGGTGTATGATGAGTGGTGTATGATAAGTGGTGTATGATGAACTGGCAAAGCGCACCGGTGCTGGTGTCAGCTGATTGTGCGCGCTGTGGAGGTGCCGTAAGCTGGCTGTGCAAGCTGCGCCAGACAGTCGCATGTCAACAGGTCGTGGGACTTTGCCTAGCTATCTGGGTCTATGCTGGTGTAATTGTTTATCCAGAAGAAAACAACATATAAATAAAAAGGATCTACCGAAGTAAATGCATGAGTTCACCCCTTGGTGGACTTATCCCACCAATTCACCCACACGGAGACCTGGTTGAACATCCCCACACGTGGCTTGAGGGCCGAAGTGCGGCTTCCTGTGAAGCGTACGCCTTTCACGATCCACGGCGGCAGAGCTGATTTGTCGAGATGGGGGACATTTCTGGAGAAATCGTGAAACATATCTACAGACATGTTGCAGGCTTAACTAAAAATTTGTTAGTCCAGGCGACTGATCACGCAGTATTTGTTGCGTTTTGAATGAATGACTGACTGAAGCAGTTCCACGAAATGATGATGGAGTGATGTCTTGCGTGGCATCGTTTTAGACCTCTGAGTGTGTTTTTTCTACAAGTCTTCACACCAGGATGTATTCGGTGTCTGGCTTTCAGAATGACACAGGCTGTTTAGAGGTACTTCAGATCACTGACCGCGGGATCTGCGCGGGACGGTTTTGGACCGCGGGATTTGCTCGGTGTTGTGAAAGAATTTGGTACTCAATCCAGGGGGCGGAAAGCCAAATCGGCTCAAACCCTATGGGTCTCCCTTCAACATGCTTTCTTCTCCCCCCAAAGGGGCGGCTTCTAACGGTGATCCCAGGGTCCCAGTGACTCCGTGGGTTTTCAGCGTGCAAGAGAAATGGAAGAAGATGAAATCAGAAGTATTGATGAATCAATGGCTCCGGTCCGGTTTACGATGCGTCCAAAAGTTGCGAGGAACGTATTCTTCCTTCGTGGTCTTTCTTCGTGGAAGGGCTGTTTTCGTCCTCAACAAACGGTCGGGGTACGAAAACGGGTCCAAGACGTATGTTTCAGGTTAGCGGAGGTTCTGGTCTGAAAAAGAGGTCCAAATCAAAATCGATCGCTGCCAAATCCATCGCCAAACACGAGTACTTTATCTTCAGACCCAAACCGTTTTGGTTGCGGAGTCCAATGAACGAGTCCCTTCGGGGATGGAACGGACAAAAAAAGGCGACAGAGTCGACTCGACCCACTCGTTCACGTTCGGCTCAAACGGCCCAGAACTTCGGCTCATCTCGTGGGGTCGAATCATTGAGAATTTGGTGTGACCAAATCGTTTGGGTCATGGAAAACGGTCGGGTCATGGAAAGCCGATTTGGGTCATGGAAAGTGGTCGGTGGACCGGGGGCCGGAGAAGTCCTCCCCTGACGTCGGGCCATTTGGGGCCCTTCGCTCATGGCCCAACTAGCGACGAGTCGAGGAATTCCCTGGCGACGCGGAGCGAAGTGCGGAACTTCGCAGAGTCCTTGACCGCAGCGATCTTCAGGACGGGATCTCTTTGGTATCAGCGCTTGTGTGCACGCGAGAAATTGTGCTACACTCCATCACCTCATAGAGTGGTGTTGTTAATGTGTTTTTAATATGTTTTTGTTCATTTCTTTCATGAACTGAACGCAAGAGTTTGACCTGACCTCCGCTCACACGTGCTCTAAGATGAAGATAAGTTTAAGAAGCTGCTAGTGAAACTCTCAACTCACATATCGATATACGATATATGTTTAGATGACATTTATGAGCTGATGACAATATCTAAGTATTTAGTCTACGTAAGTATTTAGGTTCCTTCTTACAAAAGGAACAGCGGGTGTGACCCAAAAAGGGGGACCTCCCAATGAAACTGTGATCCAACATCTTGACAGTTGTTTGGCAAACGATTAAGATGAGACCCACTTGTGTCTCGTACCAACTTCAACGAACAAGTTGCGTACTGTCTCAACGAACAAGTCGTGTCCTCCTCTCGTGGAGATTCTCTCGTGGTGTCGCCCTACGCATCAAACAAGTCCAAGGCATCGGCATCGTCTCCCATTTTAAGCAGGCAAGATGCCCTACTCATTTGTAGCTTTGCTACATGGAGTTCCAAAGCAGCCTGAATCTTCTTGTGCTCGTCAAGAAGTGTTCGAACGACACAAATAGTACCAAGACAACACGAAACCCACATGCCCAAGTCTTGAACGGTTTATCTCACATCTGAGTGCAGAGAGGGTGACGACATCTCTGACTTATGCGCAGCGCGGTAAAGCTGACTGTTGTGGTGTTCAATATAGATGTGGGTGAATGCAAAACATTCAAAAGCGTGGCAGATGAACATTTGGTCATTTGGTGGTTTCAGAGTGCATACAATCCAAGGAATTCCTCCCCTCCCCGCTCGCTCGTTCAGTGTTTTTCCTACACAAATGCCACAGCATGTGTTCACCCACGGCACATGGAACGAAACACCAGCGGCTGTGACGTTGGAACATCTTCCCGGACCGTCTCTGACTCAGGGCCTCGAAGTTGGCCAAGAGTCGCGAAGGCGCGGCAGGGCGCTGCAGGTCATGGCAGGGCGTGCGAAGGGGTTCGCAGGGCGCAGGCGATGTCGATGTTGAGGGGTCCCAAGTGATTCATGTGGGGAGTTGGGTGCTCTGATCTGATCGATTGGACACTGGAGACGAGAGATGGAAAAGCAAGAAAGGCTTATGGTGCCAAAATGGGAGGTTGCATGCTGTCGCAAGGATTCTTAAGCCAGGAACTCGAGTCACTAGTCACTTCCTGAACCTCAGGGTATCAGGGTGAGGTCATGAGCGAAGCAGATGTTCCCACTGCAGAGAGGATGCAGACCATTTGTATTCCCAGTGCAGATGCTGCTCCCGTGTTCCAATGCTGCTCCGTTTGGAACGTTGGTCAACCTTCGCTTCCGTGAGTCGTTTGGGTCGCCAAACGATGAGCAGGGATGGCATCCAAGGTTCGAAAGGGAAGAAAAACAGTCCCTCACATCATCCTTATACAATTCCACCACGCATACCTTTTACTACGAAGGAAGAGGCCTATAGGTTCGAAAGGTGTTTAAAACTCCTTCACAGTGAGAATGCCCTGTACCCTTTTCAAACAGGTGTATCAGGGCTCTAGACTCTAGCCACGCGTGGGCCTTCCAGTCATCCAGGAAGCCTTGTGCTTGAGCAGAACCTCGCACCGCTCGGCACTCTCTCGTGCGGCCAGGTGCAAAGACTGGATTGCAGTGATCGAGATGATGAGATCCACCAGTGGTGCAAACATTCCGCCAAAGATTCCTCGTTGCAGGGGTTTCACCCGGTGGGAAAAATATGGAAATTTATAATATATATATATAGTATACATATAGTGTATATATATAGTATATATTATATATATTTATAATCCAACAGAATATAAACAAAAATATACTATATATATATATATATATTTAATTCAACGATCTCAATCCCATGGCTCGACCTGTCGGTCCGCAGCCTGGAGAGCATGGAGTTGTTCAGCTGGTCACCAAGCTCAGTGGCAATGGCATCACCCGGCTGATCATGATGAGACACAGAGCCACGGGCCTTCAACGCAGCCCCCTAGCCGCTGCCATCGCCCAGATGATTCGTGTTTTTGGCTCACCTTCGAATGCAGAACCCGGGCAACCTATGGGAGATGCATCAAAAAAGAACATAAAAATGCATCAACAAAAAAATAGAAAGGAAGGAAGGAAGGAGGGAAGGAGGGAAGGAGGGAAGGAGGGAAGGAGGGAAGGAGGGAAGGCAGGGAGGGAGGGAGGGAGGGAGGAAGGGAGGAAGGGAGGAAGGGAGGAAGGAAGGACGGAAGGACGGAGGGAGGGAAGGAAGCAAGGAAGGAAGGAAGAATGAAGGAAGATATATATATATATATACATGCATTGTTCCTAATCGATGAATGAGAAAATTACGATAGAATTTGACATTGGGAATTTCTATTATGAAATTGAAATACGATTTTGTAAAATATTGTTCATATATATATAATATAAACACGATTATAATTATTAAAGGAATAATTATTTGAAAAAAATAATATAATAATTATGATAATGATTTGATTATATTATATTATAACAAATATGTTTTATATATGAATTGATTATACTAAATGATATTATAGGGGAGATACTGTATATTATTTTAGTATTTTATAAGTTTTTTCGAATGATGATACAAATGTTGATATATTTATATATATGTATATATTATGTATTGATTAAGATGTATTTTATATTTTAAATTTAAATGTATATTAAATATATTTGTTTTATTGTAGTTTATTAATATTTTGGAATTTTATTTTGGTTTATAGATATATTTTATGAAATATTATATTTATTTGATATATTTGTAAGCGCCATTGTCAACTTAGACCCGTGTAACCATTTCCCCAAGGTTTTTGCGTCTATGAGGAATCGTAATCGCGATCTGGAAAAGATAATTTTGCTTTTGAAGATCTTGGTTGCACTTCTATTAATCCAACAATTCTTGGCAATTCCGGTCCCAAGTCCGAAGGACATGAATCTAGAGGCAGAACCGTTCACACTTGCCACTCTTATGTCCGACGTGAGGGTTGTTATAGGCACCTCTTCCTGTGACCAGAATGCCAAAGCCATTTCCACGACACCTAGGACTGGCACGAAAATCAACGAGGTATGGGCGCTAGTTGGTTGCAGCATATCCAAGATCCATCTCGATGCTGGCGCAACAAGCGCAGTTTTAAGAGAGCCTGCAGAAGAACACTCATACATGGTTGCATACAATATCGAGGCAAAGAGCTTTGGCCTTCAATGGTTCCATTCAGAATGAAGCAGATGATCATGGCTGACCTGCGCCACAGACCTGACCAGCGCTCCAAGCCACAACCTGTCCACTCATCACCCTCAGAAGCTATCCGCGTGCTCTGCTGGAATGCATCCCAAGGATTGCAACTGGAGGAATGGGTGACCTGGTGCTCTTCCCAACCGTTTGAGCTGATTCTGGTACAAGAGACCGGATGGACACTCAACAGACGCTGGACTGCACACGGCTGGTACATGATACACAGCTATGCTTCCAGGGCTTCGACCCTATGCATGGTTAGAAGTTTTCTTCTACGATCGGATCAACTGACTGTGGCTGACCTTATACCAGGCCGCCTCCAGCACATTAGATTGCACTTGACCCGGATTCACGATGTGCTTAACTTCTACCAATTTGCTTGGAACACCACCAAACCAAGAGCAACCTTGATTCAGGACAGAGCCAAAGTTTGCAAGACTCGAGATGCCATCCAACATGTACCAAAGAGCCACATGCTACTGCCCGCCAGTGATTGCAACACACCTGTGACTGCCGCCCCACCAGCCATTGGTTCTCATGATGCCAAATTTGGCCAGGCGGCTCAGACCGATAGGCATGAGTTTCAAGCCCTAGTTCAGGAGCTTAATCTCTGTGCGCCCCACTCTATGGGTAAATGGACTCCCACTTTTGTACACGGAACGCATTCAACACGTATCGATTTCACGTTTCTGAGATCCCATCAAACGCAATGGAACAAACATGATGCCTAGGTCCTCACCAGTTTCGAACGCAATTTTGGCAATGATGGACCACATCATTATCCATTTGTCCTTTCCTTGCCTAGATGGTTTGCTCCACCACGAAGCCTTCCACCAAAGGTAATCATTGACCGTCACCGCTTGAGACTCGACTTTCAGCACCGGAATGAGAACTGGCAAAACTTCGAAAGACGGATGCACGCCATTTATGATCGGGTGACCACACATCCCGCATCAACAGCGCTGGAGATTTATAGGCACGTTGAACAGGAGATTCGTGACCTCTGCATATCCCACTTCCCGAAACATTCCGTTGCTCGTCCACTCTGTCCTTAGGTACGATCCATGAGTGCACAAATGTGGTATGCTCGTCGCCAACTCATGAACCCTCAGCAGTGCACACTTCGAGCGGTCTTCGTCAGCTGGAAACATGTGATAACGTTTGATAGGTTGCATCAATTCATTCGTAAATAGAACCACACCCATCGTAAAAGCCGACTAGAGACCTTTCTCCAGGAGAGTGTGCCGCTTGTCCTGAGCAATCGAATGCATGAATGGTACAAAAGAATTCGTACCTTGTGCCCTAAACAACATTTCCGTCGCATTCAGATGTTCGATGCCCATGGAGCCCCAATGTCACAGGAACAAGAACTCGATAGACTGATCAGCTATTTCCAGACTTTGTTCACCGATGTTCATGACCCACTGCCTCATCCACCGGCCATATATGACCTTCCATTCACTGAGGCCGGCGTACTACGGGAACTTGAACATCTGCCACCAAGGCATTGGCTCCTGACGGATTCCCAGCACTGGTTTGGCGTCATTTCGCCTCCCAATTGTCTTCGATTGTGTTCGATTGCACTCGTCAAGCATGAGTGCCCCTCAATGCATTCCACCCACACACTGGTCGATTGGATGGTTATCCCTTCTTCCCAAACCGAATAAGATTCCAAACAAGCCAGAAGCTCTACGACCGATATGTTTGCAACACCCAGTGAACAAAACCATGTCAGGCATTCATTGTCGCCTGCTTCAACAACACACATTCCCCTTTTATGCGGAGAATGCCACTGTTTGCATACATGGCACACCGGGGAACTAAGGACTGCCTGTTGATCATCTCTCACCATTGCCGTACGGTGAGAGCACTGTGCAAGGATCATAGCAAGGATCCATCGAAGCAGGGATTGTGGGGGGGCATCCAAGTCTCACTTGGCATGGAGAAAGCTTTCGACACCATCAGTAGGTCCATGATCTCTCGTGCCCTACACGCTTGTGACATCTCACCGGACCTTCAAAATCTTGTGCATTCGTGGCTGGCCCCTCACCAGTATTGCATTCCGCATAAGGAGTTGGTTGGCAGATTCCAGGTCAGTGGAGGAATTAAGCAGGGCTCCAAAGACGCCCCTATGTTTTGGACGCTTTGTATGTACTTAATTCTCCAAGATCTCTTGGCCCAATTTGATCATGCCTGGATTGTTAACCACATGATAATACATGCGGATGACATCCACCTTAGATGGATCATTCAATCACCGAGTGATGGCCTTGCAGCAATGCATGAAATGTCCTTCTTGTTCAATGTGTTCCGTGCCTATGGACTCCGAATCAACCAACAGAAGAGCGTGGCTCTCACTCGCATGGTCGGCAAGTCGTTGAATCAGTTTCTTCGACGATGGACTAGCAGGCCTAAGACAGGCCCTGTACTGCATTTGCCTGACACAAATTTGACAGTGCCACTGGTGAACAAAACCTCGTACTTAGGAACGATCATCAGCTATAGGGCCTAGGAAGCGGACACAACCAAACGCAGAATTGTTGCTACTCAGACTTGCTTTCGTATACTTCGCAGGTGGCTCTTAGATAGGGCATCATGATCTCAAAATTCATCTAAGGCTATATAGACAATGCGTTCTGCCGACTGTTCTCTATGGAGTGTTTGAAATGGAGTTGAACTCACAAGGCAGCCAAGCCATCATTGGTATGATAAGCTCTCACCACAAGTCGATGGCCCATGCCCCAGTACATCTCACTCGCGTTCCCACACAAGAGTTCTTCACTTCGATCGGACTTGACCCACCGTGGATCACACTTCAACGGCACTATCACCGATTGACGAAAGCCTTGAGCCACCGACGGGAAGTTCTCCGGAGTTCCGCCATGTCCGACCAGCCGGACGATGTCTGTGTCTTGATCCCAGAATACCCTGATGCACTCATACTCCCACAGAACATACCCTCGATCCAGTCCGCTCAGGTACCAGCCCTCAAATGCCCTGAATGCTCTCGCGCATTCACCTAGGCTGGCTCGTACAAACGACATCTACGCGAATACCATCAAATTCCTTGCCTTCCGGAAGTTCTTTACAACCCTCTTAGAGATAACCTAGAAGGTCATCCCACATGCAGACACTGCCTGAAAGCATTCACTGATTTCTATCGAGTGCGAGATCACATCAACAAACGTGTCTATTTACTTTTTGACCAGACTCAGGACGCCATCGCGCCCATCTGTGATCGACCAGACCTTCGTATGCACCTCAGGTACAAGAGCATTCCCGGCCTGCTACTCAATCAGGCCTTGATGTCTGAACTGGCACATCATTGTGCATTTTGCCACAGTGCCATAGCAGCTCGTTCCATTAGGCGACATTACAAAGATGTTCAT